AGGGGAAAATTCCATAATGTGTTTATTTACTCTAAATGTGTAGCAGATAGATTTATTTGGGTTTACAACACAGGTAGTTTAACAGTGAAGTAGCGTTCCTTGTGTTTGTACTTCCAACTGAACTACAGAAAACATACATTTGAAGAGCTGTATGCAGTTTAAGCATTAAGTATTGCAGTTAGCATGTTATTCTCCCATGTTAAAACTAGTGTAGGGCCCACCGATATTGGGCACTTTGGCCAAGTAATGGGTTTAACATAGTATGGCAATACAGTAACTAAACATCATCAAAAACACACACACACACATCATCAAATAAAGGTTACATGACTAGTTCTCTGATTATAGCAGGTCATGGTGCTTGGAGCCTGTATGTGCAAAATTTGTTTGAAACCCAGTGCTGCGGGAGGTGGAAATCCACACCTAGTTCCAGGTTGGCGAATGTTAAATCAGTGCAGAGAGAGAGCGAGCGCGTGCGCGAGAGAGTGCCTTCAAGGTCTGGCGTGTGAGGGCGCGCGCGCGCGAGAGAGCGCCTTCAAGGTCTGGCGTGTGAGGGCGCGAGAGAGAGCGCCTTCAAGGTCTGGCGCGTGTGTGAGAGCGAGCGCGTGTGTGAGAACTGGATGGGGGGAGGGCATTTTTATTATTTTTAATTTTAATATTATTATTTTTTTTTTTATTATTTTTTTTTGTCCCCCCTCCCTGCTTGTTGCCTGGCCAGGGAGGGGGGCTATAAAATTCCCGGGTGTTCCAGTGGATGGGCCCGTTCAGCTCACAGTGTAAGTCTTGGCAACGCTCTGACGGCCGCGGGTGTCGTGAGACTTACACTGTGAGCTGAACGGGGGAGCTGCACGGAGTGGCTATAAAGGTAAGTAACAGCTTGCTCCGGCCCCCAACAGGACCGCCGGGCTTGTAATGAGCCAGTGGTCCTGGTCTGTATCATGGCAATGTAAGTTGCCATAATACAGACACTGACTCGAGTATAAGCTGAGGGGAGCTTTTTCAGCACAAAAAATGTGCCGAAAAACTCGACTTACACTCGAGTATATACGGTAACTTGTAGATATTCTCTCTCTGCTAGTGCCAAGATCTGCCCTGCGTTGTTTGTGGAGAAACTGCCTCAAGATTTAAATAAATGCAAAATGATTAGAATTTTTTTAAAACTACGCTCATGATTGTCACCTGCAGTCCACCACTTTGCATTCAGTCTAAAACACAGACTTGGCCATCTGGGGTTCCAAACAAGTACAGAAATCCTATATGTGACAAGCACTGCCTATACAGATTATCGGTTACCTTTTGGGCCAATTGCCGATAACCGGTGCAGATATTCTGCACATTTAAAGTTTTGAAAAAGTTACATTTCTACCCAAATCTGGCATTAGCTGAATATTTCGACATCAATCACACTCTTATCACTCTCAGGCAGTGAGAATTGTTTTCCCATATAAGATTAATTGCTGCCAATCTTATACTGGGCACAAGTCACTAGTCTCATGCTTGAAGGTCTGGCAGGATGGCTAAATCAGAAGATTAGCAGCATTGTAATCTGAATAAAGAAGGGAAGGAAGGTCATCTTGTAGTGAGAGTCTATAACGTTCAAGGAGTATATAGGTCCTGGAAATCTCTCTGGGATTGAGCTATTATCACAAAGCATGAACACTTCATTGAAGAAACATTGGCCTGACGCATTGTCCTCAGCCACTGTAATGAAGAGCAGATCCTTACATTAACATTCTCACACTGGGGGATATCTAAAAAAAGTATTGTGTAAAAAAAATAGTAAGTAGAACAAGAACCATGGAAACAAAATAACTAAAAGAGGCATTCCATCAAAGGCTCCCCATCTTTGTACCGCTTTTCAGACCACAACCATTTTATGAATCTCTCCCAGATATACTCCGTTACACCAAATCCAGCCAGTGTGTGTGACATTCTGTTGTGTGGACAGTAGCAGGCAACTGAAATTTAAACACTAGAACCATATGTCTTCTTACCCAATATTTATGCAAGCTATGTCAGTTAATAGCCAATATGGGCCTCAATTTAATATTCTTGGATAAGCTTATCATAGAATTGAATATTTAATACACTATAAAAGCTTATCCAAAAGAGTGTCACATGAGAAGTTTAATGGTGTATTGCTGCAACTGTATCATTTACGTATTACATTGCATAGCCTTATTTTACTGTACAGAACCTTTGTGCTTTTTTGATGGTATTTGACCTATATATCATCATTATTTCCATTTACACCTTACCAGATCGCAATGCAATTGTGTTATAGGACCTTCTTGCTTATAAGCCCACCCTCCGTCAAAAAATATTATATCACAGGGCACGCAGAGAGGAATAATGTTACCTTGGACTCCTATGCACCTGTAATGGGGGGTGGGGGGGGGTACCATATAACATTCACATATCATTAAACATATTGTTCCACCAGTTCAAATCACAGACAAGGCCCTAGATCTTGTAATAAGCAAGGTTGAAGCAGGTTTCTCCTATTGTCTGGCACCATGTGATTGCCTTATTTTGTGTTAAAAGATGTGCAGGCATGGAAGACAGACCCCCTAGAGACAGCCCCTCTCCCCTCCAGTGTTATCCTAATGCCTGGCACGTTATGACCGCATTCTCTTTGTATACTATTACCCCCCTAACCCAAAATACAGGACAGAGCAGGTGTGCAGACAGGCAAGAATCAGCAACCTTGGCCCCCCAGCTCCTGCAGCCAAGGTCCACATGGAATGTTTTGTTACCCTTATATCTGATCCATGTGACAGACCTCTCTTACATGACATCCCCTGGTATTAATGACAGGGCAGGTGTGCAGACAGGAGGAATCAGCCCTCTGGGCCCCAGCAATATTACCCTAATGTTATCCCCATGTGACAGCCCCCCAGCTCCTGCAGTGTTACCCCCATGTGACAGCCCCCCCAGCTCCTGCAATGTTACCCCCTTGTGAGCAGCCCCAAGCTCCTGCAATGTTACCCCCCATGTGACAGCCCCAGCTCCTGCAATGTTACCCCCATGTGACAGCAGCCCCAGCTCCTGCAATGTACCCCAATGTGACAGCCCCAGCTCCTGCAATGTACCCCCCATGTGACGGCTAGCTCTCCTGCAATGTTACCCCCATGACAGCCCCAGCTCCTGCAATGTTACCCTAATGTCAAAACCCCATGTGACGGCCCCCCCTCTGTAAGTGACAGGCCAGGTGTGCAGACAGGGAGGAGCCAGTCCAGCCCCTGGCCCGCGGGCTCTGCTGCCCCCCCCACTCACCCATGGTGATCTCCTGGGCGAAGGCCAGTGATATGAGGAGCAGGGGGAGCCCCACCGCGATGCAGGACACGATCTTATCCACGGCCAGCTCCAGCCGCAGCCCCTTGTACTTGGACTCGGGGGGGTCCTTGAGCAGGAAGTCGGAGAACACATACTCGGTGGCGATGTGAGCGATGGCCATGGCTGGCGAGGCCGGGGGCGGTGACGGGCGAGCGGCGGGGACTGACCTGTCAGCCGGCGACTCCTCCCGAGCCCCGCATACTGAGCCCAGCCGCGTGCGGCGCTGGGTTTACACACTGAGCGCGTCACCCGAGGGGGCGGGGCCATGTGCGCGTCACCGGCCCAGCCCACGGGCACGCGCGGCCGCTGTCCAGTCAATCACTGCAGGCAGCCCCAACCCTAATTATTGTTATTATTACAGTATTATTATTATTATTACAGTATTATTATTGTTATTACAGTATTATTATTATTATTACAGTATTATTATTGTTATTACAGTATTATTATTATTACAGTATTATTATTATTATTATTACAGTATTATTATTGTTATTACAGTATTATTATTATTACAGTATTATTATTATTGTTATTGTGTTCTAATTACTGGAACCCAACACACCATCCCTTAATATAATAATAATAATAATAATAATAATAAGGGATGGTGTGTTGGGTTCCAGTGATTAGAACACAATAATAATAATAATAATTAATAATATTATAGTGTTCTAATCACTGGAACACAACACACCATCCCTTATGGTGTGGGGCAATGTGACACATGGAGCGGCTGGGGGGATAAGACACATGGAGGGGCTAAGGGGAGATATTGAGACACATATGGGCTGTATAAATGAGACACATAGGGAGGTGAGACCCATTAAGGGGCTTTGAGGACACAAGGTGACATAGAGGGACTGAGGGTGAAAGACACACAAATGGGGCTGTGGAAAGAAAGAGACACATAAAGGGTCTGGTGTAGAAAGACACACACAAAGGGGCAAAATACATCTTCGACTGTGTAGCCAAAAATCATTGCACTGGTTCTGCTGTGACTTAACTTTGTGAGTTTGAAAACATAAGTTTTGAACACGATATTTGAAAACTTCTAGCTGCCGCGGGTTGTGATTATTCTCACTGCAATGAAATGCATAAGCATTGAAGACTGGTGAATTCTACCTAGGAAGAACCCTGCCAGCAATTACCCAAGCAACTTTGAACTCAATGAAATCTGTAGTGTACAGCAAGATGAAATACTAAAAAACAGTCCTCCACTCTCGCAAGTTTGTGGACAGTGATCCTCTAACCCTTGCAGCAACACAAAGTGGAGTCAGAAATAGCAATCTTTCTGTCCGTGCAGGATTGTAAGCCTGTCTAGGCCCAGAATTTTGGACAGCAAGAGGGAGACATTCCAGCAGACCACTCCTGAGAGCAATCCAACATCAGGTGTCTCAAACACACTTTTGTGACTGGATTAAATGAAAAACATCCACATTACAAAAATGTCAAAGAACAAGCCAACTGGACCAACAAGATGACCTTGGATGATGGTATGGGGAATGGAACATTTGTGGCAGATATTGCCAGCATGAGAGAGTGTGAAAGATTTGTCATAGACTCTGACTTTCACGTCTACAGGATTTTCACTAATAATCATTAGTGATGTCCCGAACGGTTCGCCGCGGACGGCGAACATATGACCCTGTACCTCACAGTCAGCAGACACATTCCAGCCAATCAGCAGCAGACCCTCCCTCCCACCCTCCCACCTCCTGGACAGCATCCATTTTGAAGCTGCATTCTTAGTGAGCTGTCCAGGAGGTGGGAGGGTCTGGGAGGGAGGGTCTGCTGCTGATTGGCTGGAATGTGTCTGCTGACTGTGAGGTACAGGGTCATATGTTCACCGTCCGCATCACTAATAATCATGTTTCCTACAAATCCTGGTTTTAGAATGCCTTTAAAAGAACACTATAGGGTCAGGAACACAAACATGTATCCCTGACCCTATAGTGTTAAAACCACCATTTTGGTGGCTTGCCCCTCTTCAGGCCCCTTAGAAGGGGTTAAAACATACCTTATTTCCAGCTTCGCACGGGTCTGCCAGCGCTGGCCCGGTCCCCAATCCGCATTGGGCCACAGGAGGTATCCCTAGGGGGCAATGTAAACACTGCCTTTTCTCTAAAAAGACAGTGTTTACATGAAAATACCTAAAAGTAACAATTATACTCACCAGAACAACTACAATAAGCTGTAGTTGTTCTGGTGACTATAGTGTCCCTTTAATTATGTCATCCTGAAGCAGCAGATTGATGTGTTAAATCTGAGCATTATGGGACCAGACATTATGGATAATCCTTTTGTTGATAAGGTTTGGGAGCAGACCTCTAGCAGTGTGATAATGGTGTCTGCCATAGGGAATGATGAACCACTTTATTGGACCTTCAGTAATCCAGGCCACCAGATGGATGTCATCAGAGTTGGTGGCATGGAATTTGAGGATAACATATCTTGACTCACAGCTCGACTCTCTTCACGAGGGATGACAATTTGGGAGCTCCCTGGTTGATATGGGAGTTTAAAATTTGACATTGTCACCTGTTCTGGAAAAAGAGGATCTGGCCTGAGAGAGGGATGTCGCTCTTTGTCAGGCACCACCCATACTTATATCGATACACACAAATTGATAAAATTATTTATTTTCACACTGAGGTCCACCCTGCCTTCCTTTTCATATGAGCGTATCTCCCAGCTAACAGTAATGACACACAGATCCTTGTATATTCCAATTCGGATGCACTTAAATATGGAGAGAGAAATTCAACATAATAAAACATATTATAGTTAGTCAAAATTGCACTTATAAAAAATGTATACTTTCAAGTAGCATATCTCCATATAAAATAGGGACCTAGGAACAGGAGTTAATTCCTGGAATCAGGATAAACTTGATATAAAATCTAAAATTAAATATAAGAATATGACCAATAACACCATAAACAGCACTGTATCTATATGTACTTATAAACAGGACTATATCTAATGTTAATTGGGAGCTATGGTAGCATCTACTTCAGACCAGCCTCAATAAAATTAACCTAGTACTCACCACCTCTTCAGATCAGTAAGCCTTGCAAAGACTCCCTATTTTAGTTTTCCTCCTTAACTGCTTTTACCCTTCCTTTTTATTAATACAATCTACCTCACACATTTCAATCCTGGGCCTCTCTTCTCTCCCACTGCTTTTGTCTCCAAATATAATAATCAAGTTGGGGCACCCCCTTCTTCCAAGCATTCCCTTCATCTTAAGATCTCCTCTTTCCTGTCACCCACCATTTTTTTTATTTTTGTTTGGCGTGATGAGCTCACAGCAGCCCAGTTTACGATGTTGTCAAATTCATTTTCTAATTAAAAAAAAGTCCAATACCTAGAAATCACTAGTGCATTATTATATTATTTACCCACACATTCGGCAATAATGACACTGACAAAAAGAAAGTGACATAAGATTGAAAATACGTTATGTTGTCTGGGGATTATCTTGGTAAATTTTGTGGTTTGCGGTTTGAGATATATATATAGATTACCAGAGTTAACTATTTCCTGTGTATTAGATGAATGCAACATTTCCTCTAGAGAGAACTTAAATCCTACTTGTAACACCACCAAATTCTTACCTTCCAGGGGTGACCATCTTGACCTGGTTTGTATGTTTATTTTCCCAAATGTGGTGAAAGTGGATATATTGTCGCACCTTTGGAATGAGGAGAAGTGAACCAGAAGAATAACTAGAGACACTAGTAATTAAATGGTTAAATTTTACTTTTGGGGTGAGAGAATGCATAGTACCCCGTACCGTTTTGGGTTGGCACTGTTATGGTGCGGTAGATATCCTTATGATATATTTTACTAGATAATAAATAAATAATGCATTATTTTCTAAAAATTCACATTCTAGTAATTCAATCATATTGAGCGACTGATCATGGTTCTGAATATATTTGCAAGGAAAATAAATAAATGGATTGAATAAAAGCTAAATTTTATTTGAAAATCTCTATAAAGTCCTTGGAGTGCGGTCATTTCTGCTATGTCTATATATATATATATATAGTATGCTATTTGCAAGTGTGCCCATTAAATTAGCTTCTCTCAAAATAGTTATATGCTGCGAGAGGAGCTAGTAAGACAAAATTGTACTTTTTCTGTTCTTGTCCCCACTACCGAATACCACGTGGTGTCCATCAATCCATGTATTTTGAAATATTATACATATCTGATTTCACCCACTCTGCAAATAACAGACATATTGTGTGTGTATGTCTTTTGCATGATATTGAAGACACTTGTTGATTTTTTAGCAAACCTGTATTAAACTATCAGCTTTTTACAAATATGATTTCAACAGAGGCTGCAATTTAGACCTTGTCTGATAAATTACATTAGTCCCATTTTTAAAAAAAATATTAATTAAAAATTATTAATAGTTTCCTCCCTAACAAAAACAGGCATACATTTAATTATTGGGGTATATCTAATAACAGCTTGAAAAAGCTGAAGATTTTTGTCTGTAGCTTTTGCAAGTCATCCCCTTCTAAACCCACCCAGACTTTGTGTGTGTCCAATCACAGACTTCCCAATGCAGCTCAATGAGAAGTCTTTGCAAGGCAGGTGCTCTGGGCTACCTTTTGAGTTTAGCACCACTGGGCTAAGCAAACCAGGAAGTAACAGTATCTTTTGCCTGCTGAAAAGCCAGGGGGTGCAACAATGTTACATTACAAAAGTGTAAATTTCTATTGAAACCTGTACTTTTTTTTAAATGAAAAAAAGTGGACACACTCTTCGCACACAAAGCTTTTCAGCAAGCTAAAGTGCTTTAGGGGTCTGATAAAACATCTCTACTAAAAGACTCACATTTCATCCTTGTGAATTAATACACACATAGACTTTCTTCTATTGTCATATCATCAAGGAACCCAAGGTAGCGTTCATTACCTGAGGGTTTCCTCTGTCACAGTGATTGGCGACAGACCGGCAGATGAGCCATGTGCAGTGCTCAAAGTGCTTCAAATCATTTGAAATGCAGAGACTGAATGATCATGCTCAGCCACGTTATTTGTAAGTGTGCCCCCAGCCTGCATTAAAAAAAAGGGGACCCCTGGTTTGAAAAGATATTTTTAGCCCCAGTCTGATAGTTTGACAGAAGAGCTATGTGCGGTGCTGAAAATGAACACCGCAGATGGTCCTTTAAATGGATTTTAACACCACGACTAAATGATCACACTAAGACCTGGTAAGTCTAAATATGCTATTGTCCCGCTTTGGTGAGGTCCCCCTGCTTGCACTCTTCTGCTGGATGGGTGCTGGGCAACTGGCAAAGCACAATCACTGTGTATAAGAGCTGAGAATGAGCTCTCCCTATCATGCTGCAATCAGACAGTACAGGAGGCTCATCTTCTGCGCTATGTTTGCTAGGAAATCCCTCTGCTGATGGCAGTATTAATGTCAGCAAAGGGAATCCCTCTGAGATTGCTTATGAATTGTTTCACAGGTAGAATTAAGGGTTGGATTAAGGGTTTGATTAGTGGCAAGATTTGGGGAAAAGGTATACATTGTGGCTATCATTGCAATCGCGAACAGTAGCAGAATACAAATATGGGGCGGTTTGCAGTAGTGGGATATGCAAGGTCTGTGAATTTCCCCACAATAAAACGTGCAGAACAAAAATGAAATATATTGACCCAGGTTTGTGATAAAATGGTTAAAGGGAGACTGTAGGCACCTAGACCACTTCAGCTCATTGAAGTGGTATGGGTGCTGTGTCCCTTTTGCACCTAGTGCTGCAATGTTAAACATTGCAGTTCCAGAGAAAATACAATGTTTAGATTGCAGCACTAAGTCTGCCTCCAGTGACTGTCTACCAGACAACCACTAGAAGGCTTTCTGGATCCAAATGGACCTTTGCTGGACATCCTCACACTCACCATAAGAACATACAGCATCAGATTCTTCCCAATAGGAAAGCATTGATTCAGTGCTTTCCTATGAGGAGTTCAAATGCGCATGCAGCATTTGCCGCGCATGCGCATTAGACCACGCTCGTTGCTGGACGAAGGAGGTGGTGGAGCTCTTAGGGACATCGGCGCTGTGACAAGTTAAGTAAATAAAGGAATCAAAAAAGCTACCAAAGGATAGGGAAGACCCATCCTAAGAGTTTGAAAGGGGTTACAGAGGTAAAATCTCTGAAACTGCTATGTTTATAAAAAAATGGGTTAACCCTAGAGGGACCTGGCACCCAGACCACTTCATTAAGCTGAAGTGGTCTGGGTGCCTAGAGTTGTCCTTTAAACGGAAAGGGTTAAATTATAGTAGAATGATCGCATGGCAAAAGTGCCAAAAAACCCTTGGTCACAAATGCTTCTCATCTCAAATGCTTTGGTCCTTAAGGGGTTAAAGACACACTACTGTGAGTATTATTGCTGTAGAGCTCTGTTATACACACATACACACCAACAATATGGAGGTAATAGAAAAGAGGGACATAAAGATTTGGGCCCAAAATAGGGACTGCCCCCCCCTAAATAGGGATAGTTGGGAGGTATGCCATTACAATCTCTGACCAGCAGGATGGATTAGAAACATAGAATGTGACGGCAGATAAGAACCATTCGGCCCATCTAGTCTGCCCAATTTTCTAAAAACTTTCATTAGTCCCTAGCCTTATCTTATAGTTAGGATAGCCTTATGCCTATCCCATGCATGCTTAAACTCCTTTACTGTGTTAACCTCTACCACTTCAGCTGGAAGGCTATTCCATGCATCCACTACCCTCTCAGTAAAGTAATACTTCCTGATATTATTTTTTAAACCTTTGTC